GTGTCTCCTATTCTTGGAGTAAGAGTGTACATAAAGCAGAACTTGAGGGGTTCGTAATTTCCACTGTTAAGTGGAATACTATGTCTGTGGGTTCATTTCTGTAGCTCTACTTTTCTGGTTCTATTTTCATATTTACTATCATAATTAAAAATATTTGTAAATAAATCTAAAAAATAAATCTTTAAATACAGAATGTAATATAATTTATAAACTAAAAGAAAAAAATCTTCATGACTAATAGTAGAAAAGTTGCCTCAATGCCATTGGCCGTTAGTAAAATTTTGAAGAAAAAAAAAATACCAATTTATTTTCATTGATGAAACAAAGAGTTCTTTCTGGTTGGTGTTTTCTTGTTAGAACGTATTGGAATCGATCTTTATATATTTTTTTATCTATTTTAACTTAGTAATTGAACTTTGCATTGCTCCCTCTCCCCAGTGGTTAGGCCTGTGAGACATGCCAATACATGCATCAAACATATCTTCAAATATCAGAACAAACACTTCTTGTTTTGTAAGCTCTGACATCAGCATTATTATTGTATATTTATTTTTACCAGTTTTTCGAATCATGACAGATTGCTTTATTTTATATAACCACTTACTTATAATTTTATCGATACATCCATTATCTGATACGGATATATATACGTGTAAATCTTAAACAATTTAATTGATATTTTTCTTTTAGTATATTAAAAATAAATACGGTGTGCATTAAACCGGCAGTAATATTTAATAGACTAATTATTAAAATTAAACTAATTATTATACCTTTGTCACATTTAATACAAAATAAGTTTTAAATATATTTCATCTCATTTATAATAATCCATCCAATAGTTTTCCAATCCATTCTAATAATAATCGTTGCTTATTTATCAACCTAAAATCATCTAATGAAAAATTAATTAAATTACTCAACATAAATAAATAAAATCCAAATGGTATTAATAGTGGCTGAAATCTAGGTATATAAACAACATACATTTTCATTATAAACAAAAAAAAATCTCAAGTATTTTTAAAAATAAAACATTTCTTTATTGAATGATATTACATTTTATCTCAATAAAAGACATTATTAATAGTGATAGAGTAGCCCATTCACACTCTATGTTCAATAAACTAAATAAAATTAAAGCAAAATAATAATACTAAAAATAAATAAATATACATTAACAAAACTGAACTTAAGCTAATCAAAATAACAACTTAAATACAGGTATACTTATGATTTTTGGTATTGTGGTTAAAATAATTTTACGTGATCGCCAGTGAGTTTTCATTATTTTTTTTTAATATTTATTAAATATTTTTGGAAAAAAATTCCTTTTTCTAGTCTAACTTTAATATCAATATATTTATGGACATATATAGATGTTTTTCATATGTAGATGTAGAGGTTTTCCAAAACCTCAAACTACCCAGTCAAGCATATCACTATTCTTTCACTAAATTTATCCAGTACAAATTAAAGAAACCTGATTTATAAAAAAAATTTGCTCTTGTTGTTTTGCTTCCCTTCATTTTTTCCCTTTATCATTCTGTAGCTCGTATTTCTCCTACCGTCGAGTTTCCAGTGGCTGTTGAATGGGCAAACCTTTGATCATACCCAGCGAGCTTCATATAGAACAAGGACCGTGACCGACCGAGATCTACGCTCGCCAGGCTGCTTTGTTTCTCGCTTTGTCAAGTCAAAAAAGACAAATCCATGGCCTATTGAAGGCGGTCGGACCACTGTTCCTCCGGCAAAGACATAGATGATATCTAATGAGTCCTTTGTCTGATCCTCGGAAGGTCGGGTTACACCGGGATACCACCTCCTCCTTCATCCAAGATCTCTTTCTTGCTCCAGATGCAGGTGGCTCTCCACTTCCTGAAGGGAAGCACGTGCTCGGGCCGGAACCGGCCCCATCTGGGCCCCAGTCCCCGACAATATGCCACCACCACCTGTCCACTCGAAGGATCTCTGCCTTTTAAATCTCTTCAGCCTTAAATATGGGACCACCTGAACGTAAAAGGTTTGAAAATACTTCATAAAAGGCTTATTATGGCAGCAACAATGCATGCAATTTTATCAGTAAGTCCTCCACTTAAAAGCTAGATTAAATATTTTTTCAAATTCTGAAGGTTTGTTTCAATTTTTCTAGTTTTTTCTGGAGGATGTATGTATTTAAATCTGATATATACAATTCACAATCTAACTTATTTGATCCTCTTGTTTTCCCATCATTGGTGCAATATCAGTGAGAGTTCTATTAAATCTAATAGTCGGAAAAATATACATTAATTAATGCTAATTGCCTCCAATTTCTGTGTTACCAGCATACAGAGTATTCAAAAATTCAGCTGCTCTCATTTGCTTGTTTTAAATTTAAGAGCTATAAATAAAATATTATCTATTAATTGCTTTGTAATTTCCCTAAAAATTAGCAGTGTTTTTGTCTCAGTAGAAAGTGTGAAAAGAACGCTTACTTTGCTATTTATTTGTTTTTGCATTGCTGAGTAGTATGGCCTAATTCATTGCTAACGGTACGTTTCTGTGATACTTATCTTGTAATTGATGATATGTATTGTTCCATGCCCTGAAGTATTTATTGCTCGCATTCACTCTGTACTATGACTGTTACTATCATTCTGATTGGTGTCACCTTACTCAGTTTTTATTTCAATCATTTATGATTGTGAGCTGTACTTATGTAAATAAATATATATACTATCATGGAAAGAAATATTGAAACAAAAAAGGACTGTTATTTGTGAAACAGTGTCAATAACACTAACCTATTCGTTTGCGGTCCGCCCCGTGGTTGGGCAAATAATCGTTTGGCATACCGGGCAAGCATTTCCTCTTGCCGGGATTGCCTAAAGATTTGATAACGGTAAGAGTAGCCTCATTGTTGGTACTTTTTGTATGTTCCTGCCGTGGGAAGGATCTCAGCCCTTCGAAATCCTCAACGAACGTAAAAGATTAAGCTGTGTAATTCCCTTTAGATACGCCCTAAAGTACACGTGGAGTCCTTTGGTAATTGTTTATAAATCCAATCGTACGTAAAAGCTGCTAATATAAGATGTATATCAGATAATGTCCATCAAAAAGGCTTTTACTTTTAGTCTGGACGCAAAATTCACTTTCACTTATTGAATGTATGTGTTGGACGAAGATCGTATTTGTTCTCTACTTATTCGTTTAGATTCCAGCAGCTGTGCTGAATGTTTATTTAAACTAAAACAGTTTAAATCCTTCATTTTTTAAAAACGATTGAAAAATAATCAACAATTCATTTATTTTAAGACTCCTTATCACAAAATATATATATTGATTATGAACTTTATTGCAATCGAGATATTTTTCATTATTTAAGCGAAGTAAAACTAAAATGAACTACCAAAAAAATTGACTTTCCTTAGCGATTTTTAAAAGCCACATCACACTGATTATCAGATTAGATTAAATTAGATCAAGTTTGATTCCTGACGATTCTGCACACGCATGCGCATTCTCATTAATTTCCTTATGTTTGAATTATTATGCATGCCTTTTCTAGCGAAGTTGCACATTGTTGCAGTTACACAATTTTGCACTTTTTACGCAATCGGTGAAGGTGGAGTCGAAGTGCTTGCATGATAATGGCTTATTATTATTATCAAGCTAAAACTTTGTCGAGCCATTTACAGTAAAAGTTCAACATTAGTACTTCAGAATTTGTTTAATCGCAGTATAGCTTTTGGTTGAAAGATTTTTTAAATCACTTAAAATTCTTCACACGTTGGTGAAGAATTGGGTTTTTAAGTTTCACTTGTTTTCTGTTTTGGTAGAACTTGGTAAAAAGAGACTCTCGATAATAATATTTAAACAATTTTAAATCGGTTACTAATCTAATGTCATGTTAGGGTTGATAAGCGAATTACTACTAGCGATGTCGATGATTTATTGTGTGATTCCACATCCTTAGAGTAATTGAACCAATAATCGGCAGAATGGACCACAGTGCTCTCAGAGGGAGGTCAAGGCCGGGGAGAGCGTGTGATCGTGGAATGTAGTGAAGAAGCGACGATGCGGAACCAAGACAAGGAGATAAAAAGAGTCGAAGCGGAAGGATAAAGAAGGGCGTAGGAATGCCATAGAGAGTGACCCTGGTCCTTCCACGGGAGCCTAATGTGCCTCTGTGCCCCGCTCGTTAGGCCAGTCATAGTGTTGCTACTTCTGTCCGCGCCGGCATAAGTCACGAAAGAGTAAGTCAAATGATCATCCTACTCTAAGTATTGAATCTCCTGGAATCTGTAGAAAATGCATTAAAAAACTTGTTTCGATTCCCCTTGGCAATAACTTTGCAACAGGATCTCCTCTAGAGATAGGGTGACTGTTATGATAACAGAATACCCTCCATTACCTCTGATTACTATTTAAAATAAAAAAATTATTATCTACCATGATAATTACCACACAAGAATCCATTAAGCACTCCAGAGTTCTGTCCTTATCAACCATATGTGTTTAGTACAATCATTATGATCAAAAAGTTAATAAAAACAGTCCATCTAGTTGTGAGTGAGAGTGGGTATTAACTATGATTAGGGTTTATTATTGTGTATGTTTATTTTATTTTTTTCATCTTTGCAAATGTTCCTTATCAGAAAGAATATCTACTGTAGTTAAACCATAAATACGATATCCTGCTGACTTACAAGCAAAGAAACACTAATGGTTTATGGCATTGTTGTACATCCTTCTTATGCTGATAAAAATGTTTTTAATTTAATTGACTGATACTATGGTGATTAAAACCTTTTTTTGTGATCATCAATTCTATTCAATGGGCATTTTGATATTTACATTATCTAAAAAAAAATTAACATGGATCAATAATTTTATTTTTTAAAATTCATTTCATAGAGTAAATGTAGCAGTTATAATATAAATTGCACTTGTTAGACTTCATAGTTATAATGTTTCTACATATCTAACTCGGTGTATTAATTTATTGTTTAAATTTTATGTTGCAGTGCACGATAAAAGTTTATGCGAAATGCCTCCGACCAGATATAGAGTACAAAACTCTTGGAATCACCTACCAAACAACATCTAGAGAAGTTGTCAACTCCCTTCTCAATAAGTATCGCATGAGGCATCGGGATCCAAATCTGTTCTACTTGACGATGGAGGTTACTGTCAGAAAAGCAGGTATAATATTAACAGGTTGATAGTTAATAGTTAGATAAATTACTTTATCTGTAAGATGGCTTATAATATATTCTTAACAATAGATCATTTCACTAACATGGTTAAACATTTTAATACTTATTATATACTTATAACATTATTCTTTTTTGAAAAATTTAAAGTTTACATACATTTTTGCAATATCAAGTTAGTTAGTATTTCTAAGTAAATGTATTGGTAAATAAGGACCAGGTTTATTTATTTAAAAGGCATTCAAAACCAAATTAATTGTGTATTGTTTTTTCAAGAATAAACCTGCATTTTAACTTATTAAATAGATATTCACCTAACATGGGTTTATAGATTTTTGTTTATTTATAGATGTCATTTAAAATACTTTTAGCCTAATCCAGTTGTAAAAAAATTTGGCAAATTATAAGAATGATGAGAAAAAAAAAAAATTTCAAGTATAAATTGAAAGAGAACAATTTTTTTTTCTTTTCTGTAATTTGTCTTTTTTATGTCAACAAAAGAAAGTTAGCAGTATTAACCCTGATGTATATTTAAAAAAAAGAACCATAGCTCATTTTTCTTAAAATATTTTAAAAAATGACTACTCATTTCCATCATTAAAAGACCATTCATTTCAGGGATTCGGACAGTAATAGTTTTGGATGATGAATCTAGACCAGCGGTCCTGCAGTCATGCCACCCTAGGGGAGATTCCAGGTATATAATTTATTTATATTTAGACGTTTTTATTTCAATTTAGAGTTTTACTTGAAATGAATTCCTACTATGGAATAAGTTAATTTTATTTTATTAAATATAGTTTTCTTTCTATTTAGATTTGCCCTTCAGATAAGGCATGGAGGACTGGTCAAGATCTACGACAGTGTTTTGATGCCAGGGGTTAGTATAATTGCAGAATATTTCTTATTTCTTTTTTTCCCTTCTACATTCTTTTGCTTTTAATGAACAAAGCATTAAGGATTGTAGAATGATTGAATGCCTTATCTAAGATTAATTTCTTAGAAATCTATATTTATTTTTGCATTATTTTTTTAGTCCAAGTACAAAAGTCTGCTGATTTCCGAGCACACGACAGTTGACGAGTTGATTCAGATTCTACTGAACTGTTACAGCAGTAAAGAAAGGGTTGAACAGTTTTCTTTGTATGAGGTGATAAAAATTCATGATTTAAATGATTTTTGTTTTTTCTCGTTATTTATGTATACTTTAAGAAATTCAAAATCTTAGTTGTCGCATGCCAAGTAATAATTTTTTTTTTAAATTCTGAAGCATTTTTTAATTTTACAATTAGATACACTTAAAACAGTACTATTAATCATAGTTTAAACTTATTGATTAATCAAAATTTAAATTTTTACAGGTGTGTGAAAGCCAAGAATATCAAAGAAAACTGCACCCAGACGACTGTCCCCTCCAAGTTCAGAGAGCTTGGGCGCAAGGGCAGGGTTTCCATTTCCTTTTGCGGCTGAATTTGGACTATCGCTTCAGGAGAAGCAAGGTATAGTTTTGTTTTATTTATAAAATTCAAATAATTTATGATTTTGAAAAATAAATGGACAGATAGTTTTTCAGGGACGGGGTTTTCTTCATATCTTAATTAAGTAGAAAAAAGTTCGTGAATATAAATATAAAGAACATGAATATTCAAAGGAGAATTGAAGCGATCATGATCTCTGAAAGGATCATATTTCTCCAATAATGATAAATAATTCTTGTATGTGATTATTTTATTTTGAGAAATTAAGCACATATGTAATAAAAATGAATGAAAATCAATATTTTAAACTTGCTTACTACTTGAAATAACCTATTGGTAAATAAAAACAAACATAAAATTAGTTTTGAATTCCTATAAAAAAAGACACGGGCTAAAAGAAATTCATATTGACAAATTTTTTTTTTCTCTCTATGCATAATTGGAAAGAGCTACTTAATTTATGAATTAGCTATTCGAATTAATAAAAAAAAAATTGGGTTATAAAATGAGTATTATTTTCTATATTTGTAGGTTCCGTGGTCACCAGATTCACCACCGATACCTTGTACCTCCCGGCAGAGCATTGCCCAAACAGAGACTGTTGCCACATATCCTGATTATCAAAACTATTTTTATATTTGAACCAAGCCAACATAAATAATGGTACGTCCTCATAATGAACCATAATCATAACACTTTTAATTTAAATTCAAGGTGTTGGGTTATTATTTTTAAAATAATTTCCATCTAACAAATAATAAAATATAAGTATTATTTTAGGTTTATTTCTTGTTTTGGCAGGTTGAGCATCAATTTTTAATTCAGTATTAATAAATTAAGAATGAAGTATTAACTAATCTGTTGGTTGCATTGGCTTTAATACACTTTTATTCACAAAAAAAAAAATCTTCAAAAAATTGGACTCTATAACAAAACTAAATAGAACATATTAACTTTTTCTAACTCGATGGAAGATATTTGTAAATTTTTGTTGTGACTTAAGTAGTTCCATTGACCTTATACACGAACACTAACCAAACAAAAAGCAATATTTAATTACATTACAATTAATTACTATTAATCTATATTTCACTGTCGTTTCTAATTTTATTGTTCCATGATCATTAACCTTAGCAGTTTTGTTATTAAAAAATTATTATCAAATGTTTATTAGAAACAAAAATTGTGGATCTTCATATTTATTTATTTATTTTTTTAATTTTTTTTTTTAGTTTTAAACTAACTTAATAAATAAAGGAAAAACTCAAAAAGTGACATAAATTAATTATTAGGCTATAATTGTTAAAATTAAAACGCAAAACCTTTTGTCTTTAAAATGCTGATAAAACAAACTTGCCAACTTTTTGCCAATTCTGGCACCATCGAGACAGAAAACAATCTGAATCACATATAAACAGACAGAGTAATACAAATTTCTCATCGGCATCCTTAGAAACACACATTAACTAGGGATAGTACATTACTCCATGACATCCAAACACATGATGCCTGAATTGGCGAAAATAAGACGGTTTACTTTGTTTTTCTTCCATTTTAAGGACTCAAGTTTGTGTTTCAATTTTAACAATTATAACCTAAAACTTTAAATGATACTTTTTATATTAAAAAAACATTTCTAGAAAAATGTATTAGTAGAATTTTTGAAAATTTCTTTATTTGGAAGAAAACTTAAAATAAATGATCATTGCCATCCGCCAGTAGTTCTGGAAGCAATTAGTCTTTTTTATTTTATTTAATCAATAGACCAACAGTTTGCGCTGTTTTCGACATGCGTACAACATGCAAAACTATGTGGTTTATGTTAAGTTTTCTCTCATTTGCTAAAAAAAATATTGTGTATTTCGTTTTCAATGTTTATTTAGATTAATATAATAGCCTTTTCTCATCTTTGTGCAGTTTGGTGAATAAATGAAACAAATTTCAATAACTATGCCTTTCAAAATGGAATATTTTATATTAAAAACCATAATTTCTTCTGAAGTATATTTATCTTTATGCAACTAATGAAGATAATTTCTTTTTTTCAGAGTGCAATCTAGTTCAGCAGCTTTTATGTAGATTCAGCACATCTCAAAATGATTTATTGCTAAGCATTTTATTTTACTTTCCTGATTTCTTGATACAGAAAACTATTGATACATACCAGATATCTTGAAATCAGCTGAAATGAAAAAATATATAATTTCAGGGACTTTGTAATATTTTGATATATACTCAAAAACTTTTATATGGTTTGTATTTGTATTTTTTGACACTTTTTGTAATTATTGTATAAATGATTGATAGTTGATGGACATGTCCATTCGAAGAAATGGAAATAATTTATTTAGCATCTTCCTGATTGCAGCCCAAGTTACCAATACATTTTAATTGCTCTTTAGGTGCTAGAATAGTCGTCATTTTGTATTATATTAGAATTCATAATGAAAACTTAAAAATGTTTCCGAATATTATTTTATTTATGTAGAGAAAAATGATTTATGTGAAAAAAAAGCTTATTTTTCTTTTGCACTTCTTTGTTCTATTTATTATCTTTTATTACACATAAATGACATAAAGTGTTAGGATATTTTAAACATATTGTTGGTAATATCTTTAAAATGTCATTTATTTTTTTTTTAAACTTAGTGTTCCAAAAATTATGTTGTTTAATCATGTCCTAGTTGTGTGTTTTAATGTGTCATGTTATGTGTTCTTTAAGTTAGATGAGTCAGTTTCATAATCTTACACCATTTAAAGTATATATACAAATAAAGGCGGTATCACACAGAATGTTGGAGAATGTTTTAAAATAGCATTCAACATTTCAATGTTGATAACAGGCCGGGAACAATGTAATACCTATTTTCTAGAACTATAAAAAAAATCTTAAAAATTTCTAAAATATTTTTTTTAGTGTGATGTTTTATAATTATTGTATAACTTAATGCAATACCTATATTTTTATGTTAGCATCCAGTATGACTTGTGAAATTTGTATGTATTATATTTAGAAAGAAGTGTTGTCTGTACCAAAGATGTTTTATTGATTTATATATATTTAAAAGTGTAAATAAATTCATTTATTTTAGATTAAAATAAATTTTATTGTGTAGAATTCTGTGTGTTTTTTTAATTTTTATTTCTTTATATTCCAGATAACATAACATTAAATTATTATTTTTGTTGTGCTCTGTGTAATAACTTTTTTTACTTAAATCTCAACTCCAATAATTCCTTAAAGTTAGACTATCTTGAAAATATCTCTGAAGTAAAAAATGAAGTAAAGAGTTCCAAAGCCAGCGGTCTATTTTCATGTTTTGTTTTTTTTGTTCTTTTCGATTTTATTGCTCATTGTCAAGGGATGGAAGGATTTATTCCAAAATCAGTTATTTACCACGAGAAAAATTCATAACATCATTTTAAAAAACATTAATCACTGGCGTAATCCGCCCACCAGCGGACAAATCCCCATTTTACAAATTATACAACTGTTCATTTAACTCTACTACTGATTGCTCAAATTGTATAACTGTAATTAATATGTACTTTGTAGTTCAGATTGTATTATGTTTTATCAACATAAAATAAACAGAACAAAACCACAGTTCGGACAAATTTTTAAGTTCTTTAAAAATCTATATTATACACTACGGTTTATTGCCAATTTATATTATGATATAATTATAATTATTGTTATTGCCAATTTGTACCCATAATTGTACTTGTCCAGCTTCATATAAGCCCAACATCGATTTGGGCCTTTCATTCCTACTATTTTTATTGTATATTATATCGACCTTCCTATTTCATAATAATTATAATTATATCCTAATATAATATAAATAAGAAAGATAATATAATTAATATACTGTATTCAAGAGGCAAATTTCTAGATTAAAAAATAAGTGCTCTCACCCAGTTAAAATCAAACTACCACCTCCAGATGAATACCATTTTCCGTACAAAGTTTTGGTCTAAAATCTTTAGTTTGTATTACAATAGTAGGAGGTTACAAGTAGCTCAATACCATAACGAAGACACGGGAGTGTAAATCTCTATTTTATATTAGGGTAGTAGGTGGATACAGAAGCTCAACACATATGCAATTAAATGAACAGCTGTATAACTTGTGCTAATTATAGAGCTAATAGGAGAGCTTCTGTAACTCCTACTCTCCTAATACTAAAATAAAATAAAATATGAGTCACTAAAATCTTTTTTATATAATTGAGAGATGAACAAACACTTTTAGGAAAAGTTATTACTGAAACCTTAAGATTAATACTTACCTTATAGTTTTCTTATTATAATTCATTGATGATCTTATAAATATAGATATTTTTTTTAACAAATAATTTTAGTAAAAATGTAATAAAAAACAGACTTTTTTTTTGTCTATAAAAAATGTATTTGCATCTGTCAAATTATTGACAATCAGCAAATGTGATGGCGATACATGAAATAATGGTATGACAGGCATGAGGGACAGACTTTTAAAATGTAATTTTTAATTGTTTGCATGCCTAAAAATAATTCTTTTTCCCTTATTTTACAAATTATTTTTGATTAGATTCCTATAATCAATGAAAATAAATATTTGTTTACTTTATTTATTTTGGTATTGTTTGAATTGTTAACATTTTTAGTTGCATAGAGTGCTTTAATATTTCATGGAATTTTAAAAGTTTCTTAAAAATTAATATATGGTCTCTGAACATTATTTATTATAATATATTTATAGTCCTTTGACTTTATTAGAACAATATTGACTTGCAAGTTATAATAGAATGCAATATAAAATAACCTGAAATAATAAAAATAAATTAAATAGAAACCTTTCAAAAATGAAATAACATCAATAAATGATATTAGGCAAAGGCATTAAGTTCATTTGGAAAAAATAAAGTAAAATAAAGATATCATAAGAATAGAATTAGAAATGAAAGGATTTGTCACAGTTTACAATAATTAAAATATCTAAAAGTGCAATAATTTATGAGCTAAATGTAAATAACCATTGATAGTTATTGATTGACCTTTGTTCTTATAAACCTACACTGCTTTAATTTTATTTCTATCATTCCAATTATGTGAGGCAATGGAGTCTGTTGTAAGTTTTACATATATTGTTCTGTTAACAAGCAATGCATTTTCTTTACCTTTAATTGAGCAAAACACTCAAAAATTAATCCCAAACTGTACCATATCACTTCCTTCTTCTGGTTCAATTGAATTAATGCATAGTTCTACAACAACCATAGAAACTGGATTGTTTTCGAAAAATACATCAAACAATGAAGCCAGAAGTAAAACCTCTTCCAAAAAGAAAAAAATAATTGAGCCACTCCCAATACTTGTTGTAGAAGATGATAATAGTGATCCATTAGCGTCAATAATTGATGTTCCCCAAAGAAATTGCCATGAAGGTATGCGAAGAGATTCATCTGGGCATTGTAGAGATTCTTTTGAAGTCTATGAATTAAAATAATATATTCTTTTCTCAATTAGAGTGATTCAAAATTGCTCCATATTTATTTATTTTTTTCATGTCACTAATTAAACATTGCCAATTAAAACTTATTTCTTCATATAGTAACTACCAACCTGTAGAGATCAGAAATAATTGATTATTTAATTCATAAACGAGGATACAAATTTAAATTATCTATAAATTAAAACAAAATTAACTAAGTAGTGAATTCATTGTGGTCATATTGATATAAGTATGAAGTATTCTACATACATATGATAAGCATATGTGTAGGTGTATTATATATAGTGTATTAATATAGGTAATACAAATTTTGTTTATTCATAAAGTACTAAAGAGGATACCATAAAATTAAAACATATATGCACGCTATACATTGGACTTGTCTGTCTAACTCGAAGTTGAAAAGACTGGACCACTTAAAGATTTATAATTAAATACATTAAATTCATATATATTAGGTCCATTAAGATCCTGCCCTGTATTTGTTTTTGAAATAATGAGCGTTTAATAGGTATGTACTATTATAATACAGAAAAACAAAACCAACATTTACTCATATTTCAAGCATTTATAATGCATTTCATGTAAAAGCGTTCAAGTGAAGTTAAATAAACATGTGCATATACATTTAATTCGTGAAATCGATCAACAAATGTGAGTTGATGATACTGACTTTTCTGTAAATAGACTTTTTTTTTCTTCTTAATAGATGAACTTGTGATATAAGAATGTAGGATATAGTATCTGTACTTATCTCATTAAAATGAAATTTTAGTTTTTAGATTTGTGAAAATTGAATGAATCGTAAGAACAAGAGATCTAAAAAAAAGTTTGAATTATTCAGGATTTAAACTGAAAACGTTGAAATTATTCAAGTTTACCATGTAAATAGTTTTATAATAATGTTTAATATGTGAAAGTTTGAAAATGATTCGCTTTTTCTCTCTACAGAAAGTTTAATATTTTTAATGTAATGCAGATTTTACATTCAGAGTGATGATATGTATATATACAAACAAAATGTCAAAGAAAATGATTTGATTTTTTTTTTAAATACGTCTAATACATGAATAATTTATATTTTAAGAAACACAAAATATTAATTGTAATTCACAGAAATTAACCACTCCAATAGTATGCATTAATAATAACATAAAATAGTTTCAATTCATTTAATGACATAACATGTATATAAAAAAATCATAAAAAATAAGAATAGTTCTACAGTAAATAATAAGGCTTTAATAAGGCTTGTTAAAAAGAATATTTTTTTCTTTTAAATTTATGTGAATGAATATTGAAAAATAAAATTAAATACATTGGACTCACGAATGTAATAACATACTTTGGAATTGTATAGTTGCCAACACTGCTAGGAAATTAAAAGTCTAGTGCTACACTTAAATGTTTTTATAGAAGTAGTGTTTTTATGGAATTAATGTTTTTATTAATGCTTCAAAACTAAAGGTAAACATTTTAGTTAAGATTTCTTTATCAATCTCATTTTATTCTAAAAGTATTCAAACAGTTATTTTATCATAAGTATTTAGTTTGAAATTTGGCTAGCAAGATATGTTAAAAAAATGATTATTATCACTCATTTTAAAAAATAAGTAATAATAATATTGAAAACCAGGATGCTTTTAAGAATATAATATAATAAACACTCTCAAAAATATTTTTTATTTCTGTTATAAAAGAAATGTTTGATTTGGCATCCTTAAAAGCCACTATTAATTTATCTTTTAGAATGTTTCATCAATACTGATAAAAATATATAATTCTTTTAGGCTATAATTTATTATTTGTCATGAATTCCATTCAGCTTATCATCGATTACTACATTATTTTACAATCAACAATGGAGGTATTATGGAACAAAGTAATAATATAATTCGTAGTAGGAATTAAAATAAATAATAGGTTTATATAAAAAATATGTATTTATGTACATTGCTTTTATAAATTCATATTTGAAAGTGCTATTTTTTTCAGGGTATTTCCATATTTTGGAATTTATATATTATATAAAGTAAGAAATAATCAAGTATGATACTAATTTAATAATAATTAATATTTAATGTATATGTTCCATTTCATTCAATAAAAAAAACTTCAAATCTCTAAGAAAAGTTGATCAATTTTGCTATCCTCTCTTGTTTAATGGAATCTAGATTGGGTCAAATTTTCCCAATTGTAGGTAAAAAATTATTGAAGTATATTGAAGGCAAGGCTTTCATGTAAAGAAAAACGTGCTCTTAGACAATAGTTCATCCTCTAGATATATATGACAGGCGTAATCTTTTATTAATTTCATTTTCTGGAGATTAATTATTTTGATCTTAGCTAATTTCTTAGGTATATTGATGTAATTCCAGATTAACCATGAAGTAATACTGGTGGCATTTAGTAAAAAATATCCTCCAGGTTGTCTGATTTTATATATATATCTTTTTTTTTTTTCATTTAGGCCTCTTCTTTAGATTTTCAAGAGGGGTAATTCCTATTGCTTGTATTTTAGTTTGGCAGACCGTTTTTTTGATGATTCAATCGCAAAGTGACCAGATCCATTTTTTGTCTTAAGATCATAAAGCATTTTTGGATGCTCCTGATAGTTTACTGGTTTATCTTGGACATGTATCCTGTAGGTGACTAATTCATGTTCCTAATAGACATAAGTAAAGACCGGATTCCCATGTTATTGCACATTTTATTCGCTCACCTCTTAAAACCCCGGACCCAAATATCTATCCGTTTCAGGATCTGTAGGATAACATATTCAACCCCCTAATGTTAACACTCGAGAGTGAAACAGCAACAGTAACGTGGATCAATCTGACCCAGCATTAATTCTCTTTCATTTTCATGATATTTTAAAGGTTTTGGAGATAAATAACATCATAATATATATTTTGCAATATTTATTACTTAAGTAATTTTCTGAAAACAATAAAAAACATAAAACTGAACAATAAAAAAATTCTTGAAGTACAATATATTAAATACAATATACAATATACAATAAAATATATTAAATTTCAAAATGTATAATAAAATACAACATAATTTAATCTCCTTCATATCAATATATATGTACAAAAATTTGATGCTCTCCACATATATAGGTGTATACCTGTGGTATACACCTGCTTCATGTTTAGGACCAAAAAGATGAGTAACAATATTGGAAGAAGAGTTCCTTGAAAACTTTGATTTTAATTGTTGATTGGCCCAAATTGTGTCACAATCTTTCTGGAATAGTAAATCATCAAAAAATCATTCGCTTCATTATCAGATTCCTTTTCTTGGCTGCGAATTTCATTAAAAACCTCTTCTGGAGTGGTAATTAATAATCTGCGATCCATTGTGACGCGAGAATAAAAGTTATTAAAACAAATAAAATAATATTAAACTAGTGAAATAATAGAAATATTTTTATATTTACAATAAGGGTGGGTCAAATTGACCCAAAATTCGAATTGACCCATTATTTTGAATACAACAACAATACAACTTACCAGAATAGAAACACTTTGAAGACAATTAGTTCAACAATGGATAGAAGGGTATCTGGAGTTTGGTGTGGAAAATCCTAGAATTGCAGATGTAATACACCAAAATGTACCTGTAAAAATGTCAATCTGACCCGGGTGTTACCGTTTGAAGGTTAAATTTTATATTGCACAAAATCACACGTTTTGCCATTTTTGGCTTGCACGCTTTTGATTTTTGTTGCATTAAATTACACATTTTTGTACTTATAACATTAATCACAAAATTGTACAATTTCAGGCTATATTAAGTGGGTTATTTATATAAATACATATGTGTGTGTAAATATTTACTTTTTTATTTTACTATCTTGTCCATATTAAAAATTTAAATTTAAGTTACAAGGAGGAAAAATATGAGGAAGATAAATGGTTCTGACTGCTAAAGATTCAATGCAATGTTAAAGATTTAAAGATTGGTAAAGATTTAACGTTTCAAAAGGACGAAGAAAACACAAGTGCATACAGACTATTTGTAGAATAGAACTAGCTTGAGGTAATTCAATAACAAAACTGCCTTCCTTGTTTTGACTTGAATTCTTACTCATTCTTAAGTCCTTCAATATCCCTTCCGGCTTTTAAGTGAATCGTAGGCCATCAATAATATCCGATTTGACACTCTTAAACTCAAATTTGTCATTATAAAAACTATAGGAGAAAATCTTTAAAAAATTAACAGTGAAATAGGAAAAGTTATAACTCAAAAATTTTACTCTATATTAATAGAAACTAATACAGGTTACGCTCTTATAGAAAAATATTATAACGACTACATTAAAGGTGTAAATGTTAATGTTGACAAAGAACCAGCAGTGCTTGCTTGTTACAAAATGAGTCCACTTACATTAGCTCATGTTGAATGTTCTTTTTCTTAATTAAAGGATTAGGGAGTGCTACCACTGGGCATTCAAGTCTGTCCATGTCATTATTTCTAATGAGTGCATTTTTACTGGTTGTATTTTTTTTTATACAGTTGTAAATTTCATTAAATAAATAACAAATAAGTAGAATTAAAGGACTTACCTATTAAGTGATAGGAGAAAAAAAATTTCAGAAACAAATTTTGAAATGTACAGCATCGTAAATTTCAACTCAATTAAAAAATTAAGTTTTAATTATAATGTGGAAAATTTATATTTATGTACATACATATATTATTTTTAATTAAAATTAAATATCTGAAATCAATTGGTCCAGTCTGTTTAATATATACTTATCCTTCATATCTTTGATATTTTTAAGCTCCTCAACGTTACTTCATTCCTTGTATGTGTCAGTCAATTAAACGATTTAAGAGAAATTTAAACAAATATATTTAATTATTTGTCTATTAATTATTGAGACCTTTTTGTATTTGCTTTGTGAACTATCTTTATCTTTTCTGTTATTTATGTTACTCCTTGTTTTTTAAAAATTTATGTTTGTTCAAGATTTAGGTTAATCGTAATTTATTGTTTTATTAGATTATGAATTGTCGTGATTGTAATATGGATTTTAATTTTCAATTTTGCATTTTAATTTTTTTGTTGACACAATATTTTAATTCAGAAGCTTAACATAAGGTTTGATAGGATTTCGATGTATCAATATTATAAATTAAACAAAATAGATGATTTTTGCACGTTTTTAGGTATAAATTAGACAATTTTACATATTTTGGGTTTTTACTGCATGGGTTTGAGTTTTTTCTGCACGCTTTTTGGATTTTTACTAGATGAAGACCCAGTCTCTATTAGGATATTTGATTCATAATTTGAAAGCTGGAACTTTTCGGGTTCACAAGTGGTTTAAACTACAAAGTTTTTTATTTCTTTCAGTAAATTATTTTCTAACATAAAATTTAGGACTGTTTAAATGCTTTTGTTGTCCCATATTTAAAAATATAAGATTAAAGTCTTTCTGAAAAAGTTTTATAAAAAAAAAAAAAAAAAATGATCGAGGTTTGGAGTTATTGCATCCTGAACAGGATCTTTATAAATTAATTGTTAATCCTTATATTTGTATGATCCATCATTAATCTAGTCAAGGGTATTTCCTGTCTTTGAGGCATACAATTTGGTTTTCTCCAAGGCTCCACTGTTTGTTTTATTTAATTTAATTTGCTAGGACTTTTTTTCTCTTCTTCCTTACATGTGTTATTTCTTACTTAATACGGCATAAAACATTAATACATTTTTATTTATTTATTAAATCTAATATAAATCTTAAAATGATATTTTACTGGCTATTTATATATCTTTACATAAAAAACCATAATTATTCAAATTATAAATATTTTCATAACAACATGCTTTGTGAAAGAGTATAATTATTGTTTCTGAAATTCACAATTTAATTAAATAGTTGAAAAATAAATTCAATCATACATAAAAAAGCATTCAGATAATTCAAGAACAGTTATTTGTTTTCTCAATATACTTCATTTATTTATAAACTTCTTACAATAAATTTAAAATAATATTCGATTCTATATACTGATTACATAACAGGTTATTTGTAATACACAACAAAGTGACTAAGTCATAAATAAAGTTAAGAATTCTTTATCGATTATTGAGGCACGAAATTTCCTGGTCCACCAACATAATTTCTTTCATGACATAAAAAATAATGATTTATCATTATGTAAACATGTGCTTCAAGATTTGATATGTTTAGAATAAAACGAGGTCTCTGTGAGTTTTAATAGTCGTTAATGAGCTCATGAACATGCAGATCTGAAAATAACGTGTAAATCATTAATTATAATTGTAAAATATGATAGGAACAGGAAAGAATAAAGTAATGGAGCATAACACTACTTACATTATCGAGCTCCTTCAATATAAATTAACTACTTCTTCTTTTAATTGAAAAACGTCTCAAGCAATATTGCAACTACTACTTTTAGATATGTAAATATCCAAATCATATAATTTCGAAGTTATCTCTGCAACACAAAATGCACAACTATAAAAAATTTGAACATGAAAAACTGTTTAGAAATTCTTTTTATTTGTTTTTAATATAATTTCTTAGCATTTTTCAAATTATTAAATAGTATTCTTTGCTTCTTTCCATTTCGTATTCAGTTGATTTATACAATAAATATTTATGTATTCTGAAAACGCAAACAAAACAAATTTTCATTTCTTTGAGTCTTAATATCATGAATGATAATTGAAATAAGTATTATGTATTTGATTGTTTGCTTTATGGTTGACAGTAAATCATCTTTCAAACAAGAAAAAAAAAAAGGATGTGTTATGACTTATAAGAAAAGATTCAGTATGCAATTGGTTGGCAAGGTTCAGAGGAAGGAACCTTATTTAATGATGTTATATTCTTAAATATGTCTAAGCTTTTAAAGCAGAAGTTGAAGAAAAACTAAAATTTTATGTAACTACAATGTTAATATTTCAGCATGCTAGTTGGTTGATAAAGTATTCAAAATAAATAATAGGACGTAATGACAAATTTTTTTTGCTGGTACATAACTAGAGATAATTTTTTATACTAAAATGCTTGAAATTTCATATGTATATCAAATCGTAAAATGTATTTTTAAACCACATTTCGCAGTTTTTGTTTTAAAAAACAATATATGATGTAGATGTAATTTTATTACTTGCTCGGGCTAGAGATACGTAAATACATAAGAATTTTCTCTTATAAGAAACCAATAAAATAAAATTGCTGGTTTTACATAGTTCACAATTGATATTTTTGAAATTGATTTTTATAATCAAATGAACAAGGTGAACATAACATCTATCATTATTTGTGGACAAGGTATTCATTGACAGTACAACAAGTATTGAAAATAATAATATAATTTATAAGAAAAATTTCCAAATTAATACTTTAATTTTTTATTTTCTATACCATGTCATAATTTAGTAGAAAAGAGAAGGAAAAAATTATTTAGTCAATGAAAAAAAAATAGTTATCATGGATTTCTACAATTATTTACAATTCATAACTACTTTCCATATTTAAATTGTACAATAAGCCTTTTTGAATACATATACAAATTTTTTTTTACATATATTTACAATAAATAAATAAAATATATACAAAATAATTTAACAAGGTATATACCTTATCAGTAACATTATTAGAAAACTAATACTTCTTCTTGTAGAATCTTTTAAAATAACCAGTTTTTTTAAAACCATAACTAAATCGGTTACATGAATGCTACTTTAATGGCAATTTCAGACACGATACATTAAATGCATCACCACGATACTTAGCTACTTGTCGAAGTAAAGCTAGTTTATTTTGATCAGAATGTGAACTTTCCAACTCAAATAATGTACACACATTGATAAGTAAAGCTTCATGTAAAGCATGTCTAGGGTTACTATCAATGGCAGAAGTTAAAATTGTCAAGGCATTTTTTAACTGTCCCATATACAATAAACAAACAGCTATGTTGTTTAAGACCATGATATTAGATGGATCCAGAAGTGATGCTTTTTGAAACAATTCATGAGCTTCTTTGTAGTTGTTCTGGGCGACATGAACCAATCCTTGATCGACTAATTCACGAAGATCAGCAGTATTTGTGCTCAACGTATTTTTCTTATTACGTTTTAATGAATTTGCTACAGTAAAACACTTTTCAGCATTTATGACATCACCAACTTGTAAAAATATCCTTCCAAGAGAAGATTCTAGTGCCCTTTTTTGATTTATAGACACACTTTTTTCAGCTAGGGATTGCAATACTTCAATAGCTAAGATAAAATTTTTAGCCATTAAAGCAACGTTAATAATAGAGTGAAGAACTCTCGCTTCTCTTGAACTCCATACTTGTTTAGATATTTCCCTTTCTTTTGGACTTAGCTCAAAGAGACTACCATCTTCACTTTTGCCATTATCTAAATTTGAAAGTATCTTTCGCACAATTGCCAAAACACTATAAAGTCTTTCAAAGGCTTTAGGGCAATTTTTTAAATAAGCTGGTAAACTTGCTAATAAAAGCCTCATTTGAAAAGGGACCATAGTACCTAATTTACCACCATATAATTCTGGGTAAAACTGGTAGTATAGGTCAGGCTTATCTAAATCCCACCATGGGTTAGCTTCAGATTCAACGACTTGAAATGCATTCAGTTTTAATAACAAACAAAAACGAGTAAACCATAACTGTATTGTGTATACCGTGTGTTTACTTGGTTGTCCTTGTTTATTATACCCTTGTCCATAAGGAGTCAACAATCTTCCAGTAAGATTAACAGCAGCTCTGAAACATTCTGCTTGAATCAATTCCCTGAGACCTCTTTCATCCTGTGAGACATCAGAAACTGTTAAAACTTTACGCTGGTTTGCTTCAGACTCTGAGAAATACTGTTTCATTAATTGGTAAACACCATCTACCATATCTTCTTCTAAAACAGTACCAGGCATAGTTAACAACTCTTTTTCAGGAGTATAAGAACCTGGGGATGATGTTGCGGCTAATATTAGGGCACGTCTAGTTTCTTCTGAAGGTATCCAAGCTTCCCTTGATCGATCACTTTCCATTCCATTTAATACATCAGATACATCTTCAAAACCCTGCAATGGTGATGGGTATGGACCTTCATTGCTCGCTGATGAATCTGTAAATGAAGTTAATGAACTACTGTGAAACTCCCTAGAACCCATATCACTGTCTAGTTCAGAAGAAGGACTAATCAAATCAAAAAATGTTTTTGATGAGTTGTCTTGCGAAAATATTTTGCAAACCACTGGTTCACTTTCCTTAGGATCAAGAGAAAGGGTAGTTATATTATTAGTTATCTCTACAGTTTTCTTCTTAACGGCTGCGTTGAATAAATCTTGAGTGGACTTTGATTCCACTATACTTGACATCATCGCCGAAGAATTCGCAGTTGAAAGTTCATCGAAAACATTCGATTCAGAACTGGTATCATAATTAAAATAATTTTGTAAAGGAGAAACTTCAGTTTTAGCACTTTTTTCCATATTCAAACACAAGGTTTACAAACAGTAAAATAACCTACAAATACTGATAGCATTGATTATGTTAACAGAACATCAATTTGAAGTAGAACTGGGTTAGACAGGATAATCGATTGTATATTCCAAAGAGCAAAAAAAGTAACGACGGTTAAATGAACTACTTTATTTTACTAACCTTTTAAATAGCAATCCTTAAGGAAATCTAAATTTATATGTACAAAATAGAACTTGCTTTGAGAAATCTTAAGGTAAAAACAAAGGAAAAAAAAATATTTTTTTAAGTACTTACAATTAGTCTTCTTGGTAGACTGTTAGAGAAATTTGCATCTATGAATATTTGAAGTTGGTGTAGTAGTTTAATGTCTTCTCTTGTACATTACAGATCCTGGGAAGTATATTTAATCTTCTTAGAGGGCATGTAAATTTATAAATGACTCTGTTGTTTGGAAATGAGTTCTCTAAAAGAAATAAACTCATAGAATAAAAGTAGCAGAGAAACAAGTTCTGTGTCTACTGAATACCAACATTTTTAACTCTCAAATCGGGATTCGTCATTTATCCATGAAATTCGGTGTCTTTTGACACCTCGTTTCTCAAAACCTTTCATTGTTGAGATCTGAAAAAGAAGTCTTTACTGTATGTAGCAGACTAAACAAAAATAATTGTGTAGAATAAACACCCTTACTGTTGAAATATTGAAAATCACACCGACCTTCATGACCAAGCCATCGGAAGATTACCAATTTCGAGCGGAGTAAGTGACCTACGTTAAAAACGACGGTACTCAGTGGACGCATAATTTGATGTTCTACAACTTTTATTCCAAGAGTTTTTTCTTTTTTTCTTCTCGTAGAGAACTCATTTACAAGCTAGAGAGTCATTTATAGTAATTTGTCTGTTTTTGACAAATTTTGTGAAAATCAGCATTCGTCAACCTTGTTTTTCGATCATATCACTCATCCTGGTTATTAACCAAGTTATTAAGTTTAGGCACTCGTTGGAAACTCAATTTAACGTTCTTTAATTTTTTACAGAGTAAATGTTTTTCTCCGACGCACCGTTCAGGAGTCATAGAGGATAAAGCAAAACAATCTTGAAAAGATTGCTGGATTTTTTGCCTCTACAAAGTTTTCTCTTGGTGGCACGCTTTAACAATTTTTTTTTACATGTTTGAGCCCGTAAACAAATTTATCCGATATTTTCGACGTATATTTCCCGTTTCATTTCCATTTACTGATCCAATATTCTTTTATTTAGCCGCCATTTTCGAAAGTAGAGGCTCTTTTCCAGCCTTAAGGCCGGAACTGTGAGTACCCTTTTAAGGCCCAGACTCCAAGTCTATATTCCCATGAAGCTTATTAATATTTAATAAAAACGTTTTCTAAACGGTTTTGAGAAATCTTTTGTTGGAAGGCCTCTGGGTTAAAAATGATACTTATATCTTTATAATTCAATCGATTTTGTCTATAATAAATATTTTGACCCTCCTATCCATGTTACTACTTGAATTATCAAGTTTTGTCATCAAGCGCCGTTGTGTGGATTGTTTGTAACTGGAACGAGATTTTGCTTGTTGATTTTGTTAACATTTTAGAATGAATGAATTACTATATCACTATTACTAGTTTCCTTGTGAAAGAATGTAATAATACTCAATGAAGAAATTTGCTTTTTCCATATTTTAGAATGATCAGATGCTTTGAATTATCAATATTTTTTTTAATTAGGTATTGTTGATTGAAAGTCCTTATTTTTGTCTTTTGAACAATTGATTGATTGATTTTTATTTAAAATTAATTATTCAAGTTGATGTATATTTATTGATCAACAAGATCTTATATCTTAGTGCCAGTTTATTTCCAATATCAATAAGGGAAAAATCTTAATACAAGAATTATTCAAGATAAATTAAATATGTATCATATCAATATTAATTTGTATAAATGTTATTACAATTGTGATTTAAAAAAAATATATATCATATACGTTGTTGACTGTTGTATGTCATATGACTAATGAAAATAAATAAATTGAAGTAAAATATAAAAATTTATCTGAAATGAAGCTTACGACTCTTAAGAACTGATTCGAATGAATGAATGTAATAATGAAATCATTTATTTTTGTTCATTATTTATACTTGCCGCTGGTATTTATTTATTTATTTAACATTATGGTGTTATGTACCATAATGGCAGGCTTATGGTTAGAGGCATCATTCCTTTGTCACAATTACAGTTTCTTAAAAACTTTCATTTCTTTTTTTATATTGTATGATTTGGTCCAAAACTTATCGAAAGAACCATTATTAAATAGAAAGTGAATAAAATAATATGTGAGATCAAACTATTAAATTTTAAGGCCTTCTTTGAATTGGAATTGGTGATGCCGACTTGCTGACTTGAATCATGTTGTTCATTGATCCAGAAGAAAACATCAAAAGACAAGGGAAAGACTTGGGGGAAATACTTTTAGACTGGAATGTTTTGTATTAGACCAAAGTGCTTTAGGTTGGAAGATAATTCAATATATATAAAATAACTTTCCTTCTTTTATCTATAATTGTAGTTAAACTGAAAAATTGTGGTGTGATAATCCAATCTTTAATCATCTATAACATTAGTTGATCTATCAGATTTTTATAATCCAATTTCATCAATTCTTTTAAACTCATCAATTTTCTGGACACCTCATTATCAGGAGTGGAGGGAAGGAATCCTTCTTAAATTTTGGACCCAGCAAGCTCAATCCATTTTCAACATCCTATATCTAAATGAAAATATCTTTCGAAGGTTATCCATTGCATTCCAAGCACAGGAACCAGTACTTAGGATATATCTTGAGAGCGACAAACTTTAGCGTAATACCGTAAGTGTTCAATGCATTGGATGGGAGGAGGATAGAATGCCATGCATATAGGAGTATCTCTGTAACTAGCCTATTACCTGTAATATTATATAATTTGTTTATTTAATATTTTGTGAATGATTTTTAAGTAAAGGACTGCGAAATAACGAAGGGAATGTTCCATAGGGTGGAGGGTAATGTATAAAATATTGGGAAAGGGGCAAAAAGTGTTTTGTCTCACCGGTTTCGGAGCCTATCATCCCAACTATCTACATTTTTCTACTCCTCTCCAAAAGTTATATATATAAAAGCCTAAAATGTTGTCCATCAAAAATTTTTAAATCTATTCAAAAGTTCAATTCATACGATGTTCTTTATATTACTCCATGATTAGCTTACATAAGTATAGAATATAGAAGCCGTTTCTTATTTTTTATCACTTCTTCATACTTTTTATCTTCCTTATTCTAATTGGCGAAGCAAAACGCGAGCAAGCGACGACGATGGATGTTATATTGTACAATAAAAAAACTAAACAACCATCTATATTATTTATGTTCGAATTTTTCATCGTTCATTGCCAACACGTGCTAGCGCAATGCTTTGCCACTCAGGATGTAGCCTTATGTTTGTGATCACTAATAACACGTCTCTCATCTTTTTTTTTTTTTTAGGATTAAGTAATATTGGAGGTGTCAGAACTGTTGTTGCAATCCAACGCTCTAATCAATGGGAACTTCTGACAACATTATTTTTCTTAAAAGGTAAGACATATTTCTATCTTTAAAGTTTGATTTTGCAGCATTCATAACTGTATCAATATAGGAAATAATTGTTCAGAATATCTACTTTGAATCTCAACACAACTAACAAATAAATCAAAATGTGGCTGACTATGAACGATGCTTGTTGCTGGTGGTGTAATAAAATATTTTCTTGATGTGACGAAGGCTTTCTAAGAGAGACAGTATTTTCCTATATGAATAATTTTTATTTATTTATTTATCGGATCGGCAGGCACCTGAAGCTGCCCTTGGCCCTCTCAACTGCCCAATCATTTCGGTCAGCAGCATGTCTGTTGGATATTTCCACTATCCTCAGCCACGGAGTCCTTCCACCTTCCCTTCGGTCTTCCACGTGGTCTAAATCCATCCGAGGTTCCATAATATAATTTCCTCAAGGCTCTGCCTTCATCCATTCTGATAATGTGTCTTAGCCATCTGAATTCGCACAAAATGAGAAACTCGGAGATTGTCAAATAAGTCGTAGATCTCTTTCTTTTGTCCTTTCTTAAACGACTTGTAAATACTCTCTTTAACTGACCCCCTGATGCGTCTCAACACTTTTCTTTCAAAACTGTCAATATTTTCAGCCAGGCTTTTGCGCAGGGTCCAGGTTGCACTGGCATAGGTCAGTACAGGTTGGATGATTGTTTTGTATAGAATCATTTCGGTACTCCGACTTAGTAGGAAGGAAGGATTTCTTAGGGCGAAATATGCTTTGTTAGCCCCCATTTCACGATTTTGAATTTCTTCTCCATCGTCCACCCGATCATTAACAATGGAGCGGAGTACTTAAAACTGGACACGCCTTGAAACGTATATTGTCTTACTACATAATGCTTAGGCGGATTTATAGGTGTCTTACTCCTGAGCACGATAATTTTTGTTTTTTCCTCATTTATGGACAGCCCCATTCTTCCAGCTTCTCTTTGCAACCTTTCACAGGCCTCCTTGATCGCCTTGAAGGACAGTCCAATCAGTGCCACATCATCAGCATATCCAAGCACTTGAGTTATTTTACTAAAAATGGTGCTCGACTGAGTAAGCTCTGCTCTATTCACCACAACTTGGAGAGCGATGTTAAATAGAAGTGGGAAAAGGGGGTCACCCTACCTAACTCCTGACTTGAGTGCGAAAGGTTGGCCCAACTTCCCATTTATTTTCACTCGACTCGCGCTCTCATTCAAAGTACACGATACAAGTCAGATTAGCTTGTAGGAATTTCCATCTCTTTCATTACCAGGTAGAACTCTGATGAATAATTTTATTCCGTCTTAAATTTACTTTCTGAGCCGGAGAAGAAAATGGGACATGGTATTTTCTCTGCTCTTCCGACATAACCAGGAAGTAACCATTTTCGTCTGTTGAGTCATGAAATATTAGAGCGTACCTGACTCCAAGGATTATGCTAAAACGTATATGGGTGAATAACATTTTGTCTATCCTTTGACCGCTGTGGTCGAGCGAGTTAAG